AGTCAGCGAGGAGCGGGGTCCAGTCAGCGAGGAGCGTGGAGTCCAGCGAGGGAGCAAGGAGTCCAGTCAGCGAGGGAGCGTGGAGTCCAGTCAGCGAGGGAGCGTGGGGTCCAGTCAGCGAGGGAGCGTGGGGTCCAGTCAGTGAGGATGCTGGGTCCAGTGAGGATGCGGGAGTCCAGTCACAGGGTAAAGGTGGGGGTCCAGTCAGCGCAGGATGCGTGGAGTCCAGTGAGGATGCGTGAGTCCAGTCGGGCGAGGAGCGTGGGGTCCAGCCGCGAGGGAGCCGTGGGGTCCAGTCAGCGAGGGAGCGGGGTCCAGCTGGGCGAGGGAGCGGGGTCCAGTCAGCGAGGGAGTGTGGGGTCCAGTCAGCGAGGGAGTGTGGGGTCCAGTCAGTGAGGATGCGTGGAGTCCAGTGAGGGAGCATGGAGTCCAGTCAGCGAGGGAGTGTGGAGTCCAGTCAGTGAGGGTGTGTGGAGTCCAGTCACGAGGGAGCCGTGAGTCCAGTCAGTGAGGGTGTGTGAGTCCAGTGAGGGTGTGTGGAGTCCAGTGAGGGTGTGGAGTCCAGTCAGCGAGGGGAGTGTGGAGTCCAGTCAGTGAGGGTGTGTGGAGTCCAGTGAGGGTGTGTGGAGTCCAGTGAGGGAGGGTGGAGTCCAGTGAGGGAGGGTGGACTCCAGTGAGGGTGTGCGGTGTGCAGTGAGGGTGTGTGGAGTCCAGTGAGGGAGGGTGGACTCCAGTGAGGGTGTGCGGTGTGCAGTGAGGGTGTGTGGAGTCCAGTGAGGGAGCATGGAGTCCAGTGAGGGAGGGTGTGTGGAGTCCAGTGAGGGAGTGTAGAGTCAAGTGAGGCTGTGTACCGTCCTCCATGAGGGCCTGCATTTTCTGTGTGCTGTACTTGGCGCTGGAGATAACTGAGGAACAGGCCCACCCCAAGAGGGCAGTGTACACACCAAGCATGTGAACAGAGCATGGCAGGAGCACCTGTGGCCACAGGGACGCCCAAGACCGTGGAAGAATGGACCCCTGCTTCCAGCTTTAGTTCCACATAAAGGACTCAGTCCTTAGGAGGGGGCATCAGTCGCCCAGAGGAAGGCCTGGGAAATGACCACTGACTGTCACATCTGACTGGGGTCCCAGCAACACAGAGGGAGAAAGGTCTTGTTTGGGTGGGTGGGGATCAGGGTGGTGGAGGGTGACTGACATTGCCTACCTTGGGACCAGGGCCCACTGAAGGGTCTTTCCTGGATGGAACAGAATTCAGGGGCACGCTTTACAGTTCCTCTGTGTCCACCAGAGGGCACCCATTCCTTGCTAATCTTTTAACCTGGGCTCCAGTGGGAGGCCATTCGGGAACTTTGGGAGTGGTATCAAGGTGACTCCGAGCCCTGAGGCATATCCTCAGGCAGTGGTTAATTCTGTGCTAGGTTCAGGACTAGGGGCAAGTGTGTTCTGCTAGAAGCAGCAAATGCTGTTCCTGGCCAAACCTTTGGTTGGATGAGGCAGCTCAGACAGCGGAGGCAGTAAGCTCTGCTGATGTTAGGTGTCTCAGGGGGACCCTAGCAAGGCAGCCCTGGGCCCTGGCTCATGCCTCATCCTATTGTTGCCATTTTGCAGAGGAGGGGATTGAGGACCACAAAGTTCAGTTACTTGCCTCATGCTAACATGGCTGCCATGTCTGTGTGCAGACCCCCTTTCAGGGGGCCTTGCCATAGTGGTTCTGAGCAGGACCGCAGCCTGAAGGAGCTGGGTTAGACCTGCTCTCAGCTCCAAGCGCTGCCTGCCCTGTGTGGCCTTCCTTCACAGCCTTCGCCTGCACTCCTGCCTTAGAGACATCCTCCTGGGCGACAAGCTTGGGAACATTGCAGTACTGAGTTGCCTTGGGTGGCAGAACAGAGAGGAGCCAGCGTTTTGGCTCCAGACCCCCTCTTTCTTCCCTGGATGAGCCATGATGCAGATACCCAAGCTGTGCAGAGGGTGTGGGGTAGACACAGGTCAGAGGGTCCTTCCTACCAAGGCCTCAACCTGCCCCTGATCCTGATGGCAGCTGCCTGGGGACATGCTGAACAAGCGGCCTGAGCAGTCCTATGAGGGTGACTAAGCTTCAGCCAGAGAAGGGCAAGGTCCCCCCAGAACTCTGGCGGTGTGAACCACAAAGGTGGGGGAGGGGCATAGAATGGAGCAGACATGGTGTCAAGGGGCAGGCAGGGAAAACTGGTCTCTCTTGCTCTCTTAAATGCACCCATTTCCTTCCTTCCTGGCATCTCCCTTAACCCAGGCCAGGCCTCTGCAGACACTTTAGTCTGCTCCTGGGAGTTTTCCTGCAAACTCCTTGATGGCTTCCTCAGGTCCTACCTAGGCAACAGGCCCACTGGCAGTGCCTATACAGGCCCCTGCCCCTGCAGTTCTCATTGGAGGATCCCAGAAGGTTCTTAGTGAGCTCTTATCCTCACCTCCACCTCTGAGGGCATGAGCTGGTAGCACTTCCTCCAGTTGATTATCCTGACCCACTGCTCACAGCTCGTGTGTGAAAATTCAAACAGCACAATAACTTCTCCAACTATGTTCAAGGGGCAGGGTGGGCCTGGCCAACTAAGCTAAGGGACCTGGAGACCAAAGGTTGGATGACTGCCAGGCTGCACCAGTGCCAAACCAAAACCCTAGGCATCCTAAGAGGCCGGCAGGTACCACACGCCGCCGGCAGGGGGAGCCACGTCATGGAGCTAAACCGGTGAGGCCTGCAGAGGCAGCCACCACTTGGAGGATTCTCGGGAAGCTTGGCAAGTTCCCTTTTGGCCTGTACCATCACCACCCTGCGCTCCACAGAATGGCAGTCCCATGTGGCCTGTTTCCAGTGTCTAGGACTGCATACCCCCACACCTCCAGGGCACTAGAGTCCCCATGTGGCACCCAGTGATGAAGTCCTCCTCCCCAGTTAAGGCTTCTTAGGACAATCACTGACTGCCCCAGTAAGCAGTCCCCCACCCAACTGCAGCTCAGTCCCTGCCCACCCACCAGATGATGCTGCCCATCACAGGTCACATCCAACTGCCTCCCAAAAGGTCTTCAACCCACTGTCCCCGGGATCCTCCCCCTCCTATCCTCATGCCCTGGAAGGTCTGAAGAAACTGAAACAGAAAAACTAGGCTTGAGACAGCTTTGTTAGAACAACTCAGCAAAATAAAATTCCTGTTTATTGTTGGACAACATTGTTTCACACATACATCAAACAGGCCAAAAAAAATAAACAGCAACTTCATAGACAAAAAAGGAAAAAAAAGAAACCTTTTATCTTTGGCCTTTTTAACCATCTCATACAAACCAACTACTTATAGTACAGCTAAGTACATACACAAAAAAGTTACTGGAATGCTCGGAATAAGATTGTTTTTCTGTTGTCGTTTTTGCTTTTTTTACAAGGTTTTTTTTCTCCTTTGAGATTATAATGAACATGGTCACACCACAAGTAAAGTCAGAAGTAGGACAGAGAACGCTCCGAAGGCTGGTTTGGTCATCCGAGATCATTAAAAATGGCTGACCCTAACAATATGTACAAAAATATAAAATGTAAATAAAAAATACAAACAAATTTCCTTTTTAAAGTACTTTTAAGAAAAAAAGCAGGGCCTTGGAAGTTTTGGTTCTTTTTTCCTCCCCTGTTGCAAATTCTCATGGTTTGGGTTGGGTGGTGGAGAGCGGGTGTCATCTGCGGGTGGCACTGCCCACGGTGGGCGGGCGGGCGGGCCTCTCTACTCGAAGGTGACCACGTTTAGATTCTGAGACGGGAAGTGGAGGGTGAATAGGTCACGGCGGCCTTTTTTTTTTAGTTTAACTTTTCCTTTTTTGCTGTCTAGTCATCCTCGTCGGTCTTCTGCTTCTTGGTATCAACATCGTCATCCTGGGCAGAGAAAGACTGTCAAAGGCCCCTCCAACCCCAGGGGCCCTACCCAGCCCACTGCCTCAGCTCCCACAGGCACCAGGGACACCCCCAGCTCCACAGCCCAAGGCCTTTGCTCTGGGAAGTTGAGCCCAGCCCTGTTCCTTCCTGTTCTTAAGATTCAGGACCACAGTGGCCAAAGTCAGAAACAGTCCCTCCGTGGCTTGAGCACCTCCGCTAGAGGTAGGTGGGGAGACCCAGATGCCAAACCCCCCTTCTTCTCAAGCCAGAACCCACCTCATCATCTTCAGCTGCCCGCTTGCCCGTAGCTGACTCAGCTTCCTCATCTTCATCTCCATCCTCTTCCTCACCTGGAGAATCAAAGGCCAGGTAAACCACACTTCCCTCCTACTGTGGCTCCTGGGGAAATCCCGAGGAACATGTGGTGGACTGCAAGGTCCCTGCCCTGCCTCTGCTGCCTGCAACTGGGCCCAATCAGGACACACAAGCCCACTGCACAGGTGGGAATCTCCAGAGGACAGAGGCCCAAGCAGCTGCACCCCAAGAAGCCAGCCCAACAGATCAGTGGCTTTCAGAGCTGCACGAAACAAACTTTTAGGTGTGCGAGTGAGTGTGAGTGGGCATGGGCACAGTTCCTTGTCAGGGAGACCCTCCCTGACTCTACAGGTGGGTGCCCACGGTCATGTGGTACACTGGCCCCAAGTACCATGGTCCCACTCCCAGAAGCCCCAACTCCTTCCCCTTCTGCCAGACAAGACCAGGAAGAAGTACCTGAAAAGGGGAAGACAGACAAGGCTACTCACCATCACCTTCTTCTTCCTCCTCCTCTTCCTCCCCACCTTCTTCCTCTTCTTCATCTACCTCATTGTCAGCCTCTTGCTCCCCATTTTCCTCATTCTCCTCGACAGAAAACAGACCACGTTCTTTACCAGCTGGCCCAGGGATGGACAGAGCGTTGCTGATGCCCAGTCTCCCACCAGAGGCTGCCAGCTACATCTACAGCCCAGCCAAGCCCACCCCAGAGGCCCTTCTCCAGTCAACACCCTCCAGGCTCCATCATGAACCCTGCACATTAACTGCCCCAAGGCAAGGGCAAGGGCTTCCCCACCCTGGGACAAGCCCAAACTCAAGACTACCGGAGCTCCTCTTAACCTATTCTTGTTCAGGCGCTGCTCGAAAGGTTTTTATAAATATTTAACTAGCAATATTCGCGCCTCGGGTAAAGCTCACTGGCTACGATACTGCCACTGTGCAAAACTATATATGTTTAAAGTAGAGGAGGAAAAACTGCGGGGCAGTAGCTGCCAGGGCTCAGGAGCAAGGCGGACACTCACAGCATTCCCGTTAGCAGGGGCGTCTCTTCCATTTTCTGCCTCTTCCACAACTTCCTTCTTCTCCTTTAAGTCCTTCAAAAGGGAAGAAGGAACCAGTAACCAGTAAGTCTTCCGAGCAACCCCACGGTAAGCAAAGGCGCTGAGAACTACTGGTCTGTTCTGTCCATCCCAAATTAAGAGTCGCACGCGACACGTGGAGAAGGACCTAATGTCCCTGCGGTCCCTCTCCCACTGGTCCGGTGAAAGGAAGGCCGGCGGGGGCATCTGTGATCGGGTTTCCCATCCTTTAAGGCCCGCTACAGCGGCCCCTGTGGCGGTTCCCACTGCCCCCTGGCGCTTCCTAGGAAAGGAGCCATGTGGCGCCACAGCCCCAACCCGTCGGGCCGGGTGGACGAGCCCCGGACACTCACGCCCATCAGCCTGCTTCCAAGCGCAAGGAACCCGCCCCTCAAGCCGTCTAGGAAGGTGGTAGGCTATGTCCCAGAAATAAATAAGGCAAGGAGGGAGGGGCCTGCGCTCGGAGAGGGCCCCACGGGCGCGCCAGCCTGGAAGACCCGCGAGACCGCACCGCCCCGGCCAGGTCAGGTCTCTGAAAAAACCAAAGCACACCGACCCCCAAATCCGACCACTATTCCTAGAGGCCGCAAACCGCTGCTTGGCGGTGCCCCAGGCCGGGGCCTGCCTCCGGAGTAACCAAGTCCCGGCCTCCCCGCGAGAGCTAGGGGTCCCGACCGCACCTCGCGGGTGGGACTCCGCCCAGGATCCAAAAGGCAGCGCCTCCCCGGGCGCCCGGTAATTTTTTCCACACGACACAGCCGCCAATTCCAACTGGCGTCCCGGCCTGCGGGACCCCTTGGCCGCTGTCCGGCGAGCAGCCCCGGGCCACCTGTCGGCCCACCCTGCTCCCCGGACCCCAGCTCCGCCCGCTCTCGCCCCCTGGCGGACAAAGTCCCGGGGAGCTGTGGGGGCAGGGAGGTCGCGGCGCGCAGGCGCGCATCCTCCGCCCGGCGGGCTTTGCGCGCGGGCCTCGGCACGCACCGCGCGCAGGGAGCACGTGGCCCGGGGCCGCCGAGTGCGTCCCTTGCCTTGGAGACTCCGGGCGGACAGGCAGAGCGCACAGTGCCAAGCGCGCGGGTGGCGCGTCGGTCGGTTGGCCTCTCGACTCGACGCCCCACTGCCGCCACAGCGGCAGGCCCGAATGTCTGCATTTGCCGGACCAAGTCCGCGGGAGGTCGCCCCGAAGTCCGCCGGGCTGCTTAGGTCCGAGACCGTCGGGGATGCGCCTCTCAGGCTACTTCATCGCCCTCGCGGGAAGTCACCTTTCGGTGCTTCGCAGAAAATCGAACACCCAGGCCCCGCAATGGGGACGGTGTTCTCCCCCAACAAACTGGTTCCCGGACTGAGCCCAGAAGGGGCCACTGAGAGCCCCTACGGAGATACGGGGCCCGAGCTCCGCTGTGCAAGAAGTCGCCCCTGGGAGAGCCAGAGGTGACGCCAGGGGCACAAGAGTTAAGGAGACGCCAAGGTGACTCGCGCCAATCCCCGCAGGGGCACGAGGGGCGCGGACGAGGGCCGAAAGATGAAGAAAAAACCAGTCAGTCTGAGAGCGCTGCGCTCCCGCCGAGGGCGGAGACGCTACCCAGGGCGGGCAGTGGGACCGAGGCGGCGCCGACAACAGGAGCAGAGCCGCGCCAGCCGCTCAGGACCTCACAGCCGAGGGCGGTGAACCCGCCACGGGGCCCGGGCGCCCCCCCAGTTCGACCCTACCATCGGCCTTTCGCGGCCGCCGTGTTGGCCCGCGTCGCCCCGAGCTGCGGCGCACACGGTACTCCCGGGCAGCCGCGGGGGGCGCCCATCGTCGCCCTAGCGCCGCGCTTCACTTTCTCTTTCCTCCCTGCGGCGCGTGGGCTCTCGCCTCCTCAGCCAAGCCCGGCACCGCGGGTGCATGACTGAAGCTGGGCGGCCGCTCCCGGCGCACTCGCCTCGAAGGGCGCCCACCCCCGCCTCCCAGAGCGCCCAAAGCGGATAAGCCCGTCACACCTCCGCGGGGACTGCCGACGTCGCGGCCAGCCGGCCCGTCGCCCCATCCGCCTTATCGGGGCTTAGTCCAGATAAACCACCTCAGGTCCGCTGCAGGGCGCGAAACCGGCAGCCTGGCGCCGAACAAAGAGCAGCGCGGCCGGCGGGCGCTCGCCGCCACTTCCCGCGGCCGGCCCGCGCCCCAACACGCGCCCCCCAGCACTTCCGATTCCCAACGCGCTCGAGTTTCAAAGTTATTTCCGTGCGCCCGGCGGGCCGGCGACCCCCAGACAGACCCTTCCCCACCCGCCGCCACTCAGACGGGTCACAGACGAGTTTCGAGAGCCGTGAGCGGGCCTCCGCGCCTAGCCCTCGGCCCCTGAGGGCGCCTGGCCCACTCCCCGACGGGCATCACGTCTGCCCGCGGCGGTTCCCGCCCCCTCCCCCGCACCACACAAAGAGTGGGCTGCCTGAGGGCACCGCGCCGGGGGCGGGCCATTTCCCCGAGAGTGGGAGCAACAGCGGGCTTGAGGCAGTCCAGCTGCTGCGCGCCAAACACCGCCCGGGCGGCGGCGCGCGGACCCCGAGGGGGCGGGCGGCGTCCAGCCTCACCTTGGTGGTGATTTCGGAGCTGGTGTCTACGGCTGCGTCTGACATGGTGGGGCACGCCGGTGATCCGATGCAGGGGATTTAAAAAGAAAACGAGAGTTCAGGCGATAAAGCTGCCGGAGTCCGCGGCGGCGGAGGAAGCGCGCGGCGGAGGCGGCTGCGGCGAGCAAGGAGGCGGACGAGGAACAATGCAAAGATGGCTTTTCAGAGCAGCCAGTGGGGGACTCACGCGGCGCCAGAAGCTTTAATATAGATTAGTGGGCGGCGCTCGGCTTCCCATGCCCGGCCGCTATTGGCTGAGCGCAGGGAGCGGGCGCTCGCTCATTGGCTCGATTCCGAACAATGGACAAGCGTGCTTAAAGCGGCAGTGCCCCGGCGCGTCCCGCGCTGCGCAGTCGCCGGTCGCACTGTCATTCAAGGCCTGATTTTGCCGGGTCTCAGCGGCGCCGAGTCCGCGGGGGAGGGGTGCGCGAGCGCGTTCCGGACGCGCGCTCCCGCAGCTGTTTTGCTGGGGCTGCTGACGCAGAAAGCCAAAGCGCGGCAAAGCTGCCCGCCCAGCCCCCTTCCCCCTCCCTCCCGCCCTCCCCGCGACTGCTCGGAAGGAGGGGGAGGGAAGAGGGGGCGGCGGCGGGCGCACGACGGCTGCCAGCGCGGGGGAGGGGACGGCGGGGTGCTGGGCCGCGCTCGCCCCGGGCGGTGCCCAGCGCAGTGCCCGCGGAGGTGCCCGCCCCCCGCGCCTGGGCGCCTTCAACCAAGGATTGTCCCAGTGCAAGTGGACGGCAGCCCCACGACGAGCAACGAGGTGCCGAGGCCGAGACCTGGGCACCTGGGCCGCCCCGTCCCTCTGCCATATCCTCGTGCCCGCCCAGGGCAGGGCACCCCAGTCTTGTGGGCAGGCGACCCAGTTTGCCCACCATCAGGTCCGGCGTCCGTCGGCCAAGCCAGTCGAAAAGCAGGCACCGGGTCAAGCACACAGAGAGATTCATGTATCAAGGGGACTCGATGCCCGATGCCGCGATGCGCGATGTCCCTCGAGTGGGATAGTCCGCGGGTCCCGCACGGCATAGTGGTCCCCTCACTCTAGGGCTCTGGTTAGGGTCTGTCGCGAGCGGTCACTGCCGTCGCGACAGCTTCAGGGCAGCCTCCTCCAGGGGCCCGCCGGGTCATCGATTCTACGCTTCTCCCACCCCACTGCTGGACTGCGATGGGCACATGAACATTACAGAGTTAGTCAGGGAAAATAATCATCTCTTGAGCCAATTGGGCTAATCTTTGGGGACTGCCTGAAATTTGGGGGGCCATTAGAGAACCAGGCGGAGCCCCGAGAAAGGGGAGCATCAAGACGCCACACTCAAGATGGCGCCGGGCTCGGCAAGCGTGGCGTGACGTTGCGATCTAACTCATGTGGGCGATCTGACAACAGCTGGCTACGCCAGCCTTATCGCCACCGCACTTGGCTGTCGAACTAAAAGATCGGTTGTGTGGGAAAAAAGACCAGAATAGGTGGAAAGATAGTCCAGAAATTTACCTGTGCCACACACAAGATGGCGAGAAGTAGGGTTCGTCCCTGTGCTGCCAAAAGGGGGCGCCCGACACGGAAGGCGGGACTCCGGAGAGACGAGCGCACATTGGCCGAGAGTGGCGGGCGAACACAAAGTTGACGCTTTGCGTCCTTCCATTGGCAGTTTCTTCCGTCTGTCTCTCCGGTGCAGCCGAGCTGGGAATGGGGAAAACCCGGAGTGTGGGATCGTGGAGGGCGGACGATGCCAAGTCCAGCAGAGCTTGCGCTGCGGGTTAGAAGAGAGACTGAGTCTCCCTTCTCGGTTTCATTAGGTAATGGGCGACATGGTTCCATCTCCACAACGGGGCTTTGCTGAGCTTAGCACGCACTCTCCCGGCGGGGAGGAGGCGCGCAGTGCCGGGCGCCACCCCCTCTCCCGCACGGGTTAGGACAGCATCCGTGTTCCCAGGTGCCTGTCTGGCCGCTGGACTGTTGGCCTTTCCGGGGCGAGTTTTACTTTAGGAAGAAGCCCGGGCTCCAGGTACTTCAGCCTGAGGAAACGTGGGACAGATGCTGGGCAGGGCGGGAATACCGCGCCAACCCCAGCTGCCCAGCGGTCGCCCTCCTTTGCAGCGGCGAAGGAACGTCCCCCTGGGTCTCCGCCCTGCCCCCAGGCGCCCCAGTGGCTAGAGGTGGCATTCTCCTCTGGACGGGCGCGCCCCAATTCGGGGGACTCCCACAGTGCTGTTCTCGAGGACCACGCGTCTCAACTCTTTGTCCAGTCCCCTGCCTCCCA